ATAGAAATTGAATACTGGTGCCATGTTCATCTTAGCTCTAGGCTAAGTTTCAGTAATTATTTAATTTTGTTATTGTAAAAGGACAAACCAACAGGAACATGCATACATAAGCAAATCCTAGTAAAAAATGGTATGTAGTCTGTGTCTGGGTTATATTCAGTTGTATGTGTATGCAATTTTTTGGTTCTTGATAAACAACAGAAGAACATACATACTTCAGCTGACATATGAAGTTAATTTTGCCCTTCGTTTTTTTTTTCTTTCTTTCCATGCAGAGATATTTTAAAGAATCTAAAGCGTCACAAGGATGAAGATCTTCTTAAAGGTCAAGCAGTGAATAACCAAAAGGTGTGTTTGCAAATAATGGCTCTTATAATTTCCACAAAATATGTTTTATTCGTCAATGGGAAAGTATTGTTCCTTATTTAATACTTCTTTTTATGTGTCACCTTAAAGTTGACAAAAGGATTTACATAGTGAATTATAATATGATTGTTTTTCATTCTTACCCTTGGTTCTATGGTGTTGTTTTCCTTTTGTCTGAAGGCTCTTTGGGACAAGACTCTTGAGTTCGATTCTTGCTTCAGAAAGCGTTCTCAAGTTCAAATAGATTACCACAGGTCTGTTTCAGCAGCTTTCCTTTTCCTGTTTTACTAGCTTTTTGTCATGTTAACTATTATGTTCATACATGAGAGGTTATCTGCAGGAGCCAGTTAGGTCTTTATTTTGTGATTCACATGAGGGTGTCAATGCAGCATATTCGGATCTAGTTAACGCATCAAAAAGAACTTTGGATTCTCTAGTGGAACTAGAAGAGGTATGGCCGTCATACAAAATTATAATGTCTACATGGTATTACTTGGTCTATGGTTACCTTCATAGCTTGTAGTAATATGATAAGTAATTTATATATTATTATGGTTTGCTAATATTGCCATCTGTGTATACTAACATCACTTACAACATGCTACTTTTCTTGTTACAGGCTTTACTTGAAAAGAACCCATCCATTGTTCAAGCAACAGATAGTATGTAAAAACTACATTCATCATACTATTGTTTGTATTTTGTAATGAAAATTGACCCTCTGTCATTGTCGTGCATTAACTATCATTTTCTGCATGATAAGAATTGCCAATATGCGAAAGGTTTTGCTATGCTTGGTGTTTTCTGTGTTTGAAGTTTTTAATAGCCATTTTGTTCCTTGTTAAGAGTGTGTAACTTATAAACATACAATTAGCTAAGATAGTTAGGTCTTTTAAATCGAAATTTGAGGAAATACTTCAAGTTTCCTTCCTTCCATATGATTATGGGGTTCTACAATTTTGAGAACTTCCCATGCAATAGTTATTTACTATAATTCAGAATATAATTAGGATTATGCTGGTACTAAGTTTGTTACTACTAATGGTGTCAAGGTGTCAATTGAGAGGAATGGAGTGGGCTCAGCGCTTTCCCAAGCTCAGTCCAAATTGCAAAACATTTAGCTTGAGCTTGAACCAGCTCAATTTTCAGATCTAAATCTTTGCCGTTCAGCTTTGGGTCAGCTGAACTGCAGTGAAGTTTGCGCTGAGTTCTGATCGAGTTCGAGTCAGCCCAGTAGCTGATGTTTTAGAGCCTATTAGGTGTGAAATTCAGAGTGGTCCTGTTGGTGTGATAAAATAGCTATCTTTAACACAAATTTAGACAGTTGGTGATTTTGATTACAGCCTTAAAGGTAGTTACCACTCCGGACTCCAGAGGTAGGTATTTGTTACAGTGGTCAAAAGCATAATATAGGCATAGAAACCAAATCAGATTGGGCCCGGTTTCGGTTGATCTGAGGGTAGACCAAGATTTGCCCGAATTTTAAATCTGGCTTAAAAAGTCATCCCAAAATCCTTCCAGCTATATCATATAAAGCTTAGTCAGATTAAGCCAAACAAATCCAGCTTTTGGGCTACCTTAGTCTAATTGACTGTCCTAGTTTGTACTATTTTCACTTTCATTAACTTCATACTGCATGTATACATTTATTGCTTGTCCTAATATGTTTCCTGTTCTTAAGGTAAATCTGCACGGTCAAAGCATTCAGAATCATCTAATAACATTGATGCTGATGGTGATGAGGACTGGTCACGGATTTCTCAGTTGCTTTCAAGGTACTCGAATCATATTCTAGATAATTTGAGAAGGAGGATCATACTCCACATATGCTCTTGTTGTATTGATCTCTATCTATACTTGTGTGAAACTGAATGTATTAAATTTTAGTTCATGCAATACCTGGCTGATCCATTTAGAGCAGCAAAAAGAAGCTTGAAATAGTGTTCCCTGTTTTCTTTTGGAATTTTTATTAAATGGTAGATTCAAGTATCTTAGTATTTTTTTCTCTAACTATATCATCTTTTATTAGGTAGTTGACAGTTAATACCTCATGATATTATGTTATAAAGCTTCTCATAACTGTTACAGATGAGATGTACCAGACAAGAATAGCATTTAAAGTCGGTTGATATTTTAAATTCAACTTATGAAAGTGGAGTAAATTAGTATGTTTGCTAAAGGGGCTGGCAAAGGACCATGAAATTATTTGTCTTTCTTAAAAATTCTACAGCGACATATGTATACGCCAAGATGCAATTATACTCGTGGGAAGTTACTTGCAGTAATGCTGCGACAACGTTCCTCATGATTTATGGTGTTTTGTTCTACTATGTTCAACATTTCATTGTTGTGAGCATTAAATTTTTTTAATGCAATTAACTTGGTCTAACTAAGGCCTTTCATGTTGTATCTTGTAGCATAGCTACTTTTAGAAACAAATCAATAGACAAATGGCAGAGGAAGACACAAGTGACCACAGGTGCTGCTGCTATTAAAAGCAAGCTGCATGCTTTTAATCAGGTTTGACCCTATGATTGAACTTATAATCAAGCTCCGACCTATGAGTGGACTTATACCCATGCTTTGCCAGATATTCGACATCAATGAATTTTCCTTTCCAATTGCAGAATATCAGTGAACAAGTTGCTTCTTATATGAGAGATCCAAGCAGAATGGTTAAGCAGATGCAGATGAGGGGATCAGCAATTGGTGTATTTGGCACTGTAAGATATTAAATCTTCCCTGTAAATTGAAAATATTGAAAATGTCACAGTTCCCAAGGTTGCATGGGGATGATCAGACAGAATTTTCATTTATAACACCATAAGAAGATATGTTTTTCTTAATTTTGTACATCTACTAATTAATACCTGACAGATGGATGGGCAGGTTCCTGACAGGGAGAATACTCCAAAGGGAGAGGTAATCCTACTCTTCTGCATATAATTGGGTTCACTAATGCTATGCCAATTTGAGGACCCATGTGTAGATTACATCGCACTTTAATGTCCCAGGGATTTTAAAAGTTTTCCCATATCGCAATGTGGTACAAATCCATTCTCTATGATGGATGCCAGTTTATAAAACAAAAATCATGTTTGAACAATTTTTGGGTCATTTGTGGTGCTTGCTTCAAAATTCTTCACATGGCCCCGTATGAGTTTGTTCCTTTGACTGCTTTATGCTAATGAACCATGCCACCTGTGTGTGAGGGCTATGGGTTTTTTAATACTCATCATGCTTCATTAGCTTTAATTATATCCTCTAATTAATATTGTGCTTTATTTGCGACTTTGATGTGCTTGTGAGGTTTGCCTAAATTTCCTCGATATTTCATGAAAGTTATGTTTCTATTTAAAAAACTTTATTAATTTTATTCCTGTACTCTGATAGGAGACACAATGTGATGCTGGTGCACAAGCTGATGGCGACCCTGAACTTTTGGATGACTCCGAGTTTTACCAGCAATTATTGAAAGAATTTTTTGAGACAATTGACCCAGCATCTTCTGGTAAACTATTGGGGCATCTCATACTTCATACATGATTCTTTTAAATGTGTGCTTATATGGCTATGCCCAATCTTAAGAGTTTATGTCGTTCAAAAACAACAAATGCATTCAAATTGCTTTGAAAAATTCGTGCATTTTCAATTGTTTATCATTGTATCTCCCAAAGTGGTCAAAGTCAATGTCACTGTATTGTCTCTGTTATGTTGGGCTTGGAGCTTAGTTGATCGTCAACTCTATTAATCAAGTTGCTATAACTTTCAAAATGGAGTGCTCTGGCGTAGCTGTTCTAGTTATTAATCAACCTATATTGCCAGCGTATTGTTAATGAGTCGGATTTTCCACTATTTGGTTATCTACAGAGACAGCCTTTTATTCTCTGAAAAAGTTGCAGACTAAGAAGAGGAAGATTGTGGATAGACGAGCCTCTAAGAGTCGTAAGATAAGGTATCAGTATAGGTTAATTCTTTGGTTCCCTATGTGGAACTGCTATGATTTTGTTTTGGAAATTATCTTGGAGAGTCTGTTGAGTATATTAGGTGAGAACTAATGTTGAAGGTTCCTGCATTAATAAATATATGCTTTTGCAGGTATAATGTTCACGAGAAGATCGTAAATTTCATGGCTCCAGAGCCTATGACCCTTCCAACTATGGTTCCTGACCTCAATAATTTGTTTGGGTTGAAGAACCAGAAACGAGCTTCTGTAGTATAGTTGTGATGCATGGCTGAGGCGGCTGTATTGGCCTTTGGGTTTAGGCTCAGAAATTTTGTCTGTTGTTATTTAATTGATTTGGTATAATGTAATATATATGTTGTCCTGTTATTTCTGTGATCCATACGAATTTTTGCAATGTCAGCCTTGTCTCTAGAAGCATATCTTTATTAAAAGTAAAGTGAATGTTCTTGATTAAACATATGTACTGAGAGGGGCCTTCTCCAATGCGAACTCTAAGATGCGGATTGGTTGCGAATTTTTGTTTTTAACCGTTGGATGGCTTGTGTGGCTTTATTTTCTTTCTTTTCGCTCTTCTTCCAACGGTTAAAAACAAAAGTTCGCAACCAATCCGCATCTTAGAGTTCGCATTGGAGAAGCCCCCTGTACTGAGATTAGCTTGAGATTTTGGTTCTTGATAAGTATAGCTTTGTCATAAATTAATTTTGGAAATGAATTGCACTAAGAATCTAAGGAACATTGCAAAACAAGAGTTTGATGGTAATCTATGTGAAGGTAGAAAGGAACTCAACCGGGCTGTTCCCGTACAAACAATTCATCCACGTCTTTTGGACTCTGGCTTCTTTCTGTGAGAGAGTGATAAGAGAAAGTGTGAGAACGAAGCAAGTGGCGGTGATGAGCACCCTCCAGCCACGAGGACCACCAGAGTTATTGGCTACAATTGGGTGAAGATCGTTTTGCTCTTCTTCTTCTGCAGAATGACATACAAAAATAGTAAATCCCAACAAATCAGAGGAAATTTCGTTCTGGAATGAATATGGATTGTGATGCTAGGTTATGAATAATGCTATTTGTATCATATTTATTGACCACTTATCGAATAGAGGTGACCCCATGTGAATTACGTGTATTAGAGAGGGTGGTCAGTAAATATGGTACAACTAACAACACTTGTTTGTTGTACTTTATTTTATTCTGGAAATAGTTGGAGTAAAATCATAAAATGAGTTAATAAACAAAACACCTCTAGTATCTTCATCATCAGAATCCCCAAGGAGATCAAGCAACCTAATCAGACTTTGTGCTGGTCCACAGATGGGGGAGAGCAAGTCTACTCCTGGCTTATATTGAGGAAACCATCGATTACTCATCCTGACATATGGATAATAAGAATCTGTGGAAACCTGCACAAGCTGAATGCCAAACTCCTTTACTTGAAGAGAAGGTTGCGTAATTACAGAAACAACCACTTGATCGCCACCATCTAAGCGAACCAGCCTCCCCAACTTCCAGTGGCTTAACCATATCATGTCTTCTCCTTCACCTGGAATACCGTAGAATATTGGGCCATATATCCACTTCCGGCCCTTGCTCTTATTACTGACACTAGTAATTATTAGCTCAGGTATACCTTTAGCAGAACGATTAGTGAACTCATTGGCGTACAATTTTGTATAGACAGCGAAGACCTTCAAGCCTTGAATTCTGTGATTATCAAGTAGAGGCACAGTAAAAGATATCGGGGACTTTGAACTTTTATGGCTGAACTGGCCTGGAACCTCATTCCCAGCAAAAAATGTGCTGAATATATCTTTTTCATACAGTCCCTAATATATATACATATGCAATGTAAATGACAATAATACAAGTGAACTATTTCTTTCCTGAGAGAGAGAGAGAGAGATGCACCTGGACGGGACTCCAATCAGGGTTCCTAAAATTTCTTGACATCCAACTTCGTTTGCACATCCGAATGGGTGCCATGGATTCCAAGTTGGACAAGCCCAAAAGGTTGATCATTTTTGCATCAACACTTCCAATGGGTTCTAGCTTGTACTCATCATACTCCCACTCAACTAGGTTGCGATTGTCATGCAATCCGGTAGAGTGATTTCGGAACCGAGAGCATTGATATGTTATTGTTTCCAATGATACGCAACTTCCCACAATCAATTCGCCCAGTTTTGGTAACCCAAGAAGCGATTTGAGATTCTTACATCCCGCAAAAGAAAGTTCATCAAGCCTCGTTAAATCTTTGATGCAATTTGGTAGGACACAAATTGGATTGTTCCCTAGATTTAGTCTTCGCAATGAGGATAGATTACTAAATTCCCTAGGAAAGGCATCATTAGAAAGATTGCATCCTCGAAGACTTAAATCCACTAAAGAGCATGGTAAAGAACTCAAGATACATGAACTTCTTCCTGGCCTTAGTTCACCTATTGGAATTCCATCTGTATGAAGCACTTTCAGAGATTCCATGTTCCTCAACATCTCAATTGAGAACTCATTAAGACTTGTGCAACCAGATATAATAAGTGTTTCAAGTAATTTTAGCATGCATATGTTCTCTGGAAGCATCTTAAGATTTTTGCAATCCTTCATACTCAAGTAAACAAGTCTCTCAAGGTTTCCAATGGATCCATGGACATAAATCAGGCTCACACAATCTGCAATAATAAGTTTCTCTAGATTTGGGCAGAATGAGAAGTCAGTGGTATCAAGGGAATCAGAATGGCTGAGATCAAGAATCTTCAATGACGAAAGACGCTATGAGGGAAAAAATGAACAGCACTGTGGGGAGTTAATTGTTATTGTTAAATTTAATACACACTTGAAGTACTTCTTCCTCGCCATACTTGAGTTATCTGGATTTCATCTATCTTAAGCACTTTCAGAGATTCCATGTTCCTTAATATCTCAATTGATAACCTATTAAGATTTGTGCAACCAGATATAATAAGTGTTTTAAGTGATTTTAGCATACACATGTTCTCTGGAAGCATCCTAATATTTTTGCAATCCTTCATACTCAAGTAAACAAGTCTCTCAAGGTTCCCAATGGATTCATTGACATCAACCAGTCTTTCACAATCTACAAGAATCAATTTCTCTAGATTTGGGCAAAATGAGAAGTCGGTGATTTCTGTAAGTGAATGAGAATGGCTGAGATCAAGGATCTTCAATGATGAAAGACGCTGTAGGGGAAAAAATGAACATAAGAAAAAAATTGTGGGGAGTTACTTGTTATAGATATATATATATTTTTACGAAACTAAAAGCCAAATGAAAGGGAAAATTGAAAAGCGTAGAGTAACATACTTTTGTTCCTTTGAAGACTTGACTCAAGCGGCTATATTGCATTTCAAGAACAACCAGGCTCCCCAAAGGAAAATCTGTGGGTATAGAATCCAAAGGAAACTTATTCCAACACAACCATCTTAATCTTGTACAAAATTCTGCATAAGATCCATCGAGTTGTACATGATTAAGATGGAGTAGTTTTAGTTCACGCATCCTTGCAAATGCATTGGTTTCCAAGACTATCTCCGTTGAGTTTATGTGATTGTTTCCAGGGAGTATGTGCATGTTGAGGACAAGGCCTTCAATTGAATCTGTACCCTACAGAAGAAAGGGGAAAAACATTTGGAAAATATTTACAGATGAAAAACATATATGTGTGCATATACAACATTTTTCTTACATTCTTTTCTGGCAAGATATTGAAAGCATCCTTATGTTGCCACACTCTACTACGCTTCCAAGGCTTCTCTGATTCTAGGCGAATGATTTCTCTTCCCATTCCACGGATCATGTCATGCATCTGCACCTTCTCACATTTATCAATACTCACCAAACATCTATCCATGAGATTTTGAATGCCAACAATTGTATAGAAATCACATCCATCTAGTATGTTAACAATGTAGTCTTTGTCCTTTCCGATAAAGAAACAAGCAATGTGGAGGAATAAATTTTGGTCATGGTCATCTTGCAAAGAGTCATAGCTTACTCTTAGTTTATTTACTATTTCACTATTTGGAATGGCTTCTAACTTCTCCAGTGCACTTTTCCATACATCTATACTTTCTCCCAACAAAGAAGAACCTAAAACTTTAAGAGCTAATGGAAGTCCTCCGCAATGATCCACTATTTTTTGTGAATCTTCTATGTAACCTTCAATGGGATGGTCCTGGCCAAAAGCATGCCAACTAAAGAGCTCCAATGATTCTTTGTAATGCAAAGTTTCAACTTCATGCACCTTAGTAACTTGATGAGCCTTTAACAATCTTGCACGCCTAGTTGTAATTATGATTTTACTTCTTGAACAAAATCGATCTTTCATCCGAAGTACTGCATCTAATTGGTCCATATGATCGACATCATCGAGAACAAGGAGAACCCTTTTAGAGCTTATTGCATCTTTAATCTTAGTTAATCCTTCACTAACATTGCTTATTTTCATTTTTCTCCCATTCAAAATATCAGAAAGAAGCTGTCTTTGTATTTGAACTAAGCCATTGGGTTGCTGTGAAACTTCATTTATGTTTTCAAGGAAGCTACTTCCTTCAAACCTTCCAAAGTTTGAATTATAAACACACATTGCGATGGTTGTTTTCCCTATTCCACTCATCCCATAAATTACGAGTATGCAGACATCAGGGGACCCATCTTGTAACCATAAATTAATTGTTTCAACTCGAGAATGCATTCCAATCAAGTTGGGAGCAACGCTTAAGGGTGTGCGACTTAGTTTGTCTCCAATCACTTTAACTATTTTCTTGATAAACTTTGACTCGTACCTAAAAAATTGCAATCAATTGAAAGAGAATTCAAGCATGTGTATGATTAATTAATTCATATAATTAAACTATAAAATACCATGGAAATAAGTTCACAAAGTTAGAAGGTACAAATTATAGATGAGTGCTGAAAGAGTTAAATAGAACTTAAAACTTTGTTGACAATATGAAGAGAAAAAATTTAAATAGTACAAAATCTATCAAAATTTAACTTTAGATAGATCAATCCTCGTCTGGATGAGGGGGTTGAATTGGCCTCTAAAACTAAAGCTCAATCAAACATAATGAAAAACTACATAAAATCTGGATCAAGCAACATAGATAATAAGTAAAAGAACATGCTTTTAGAGATGGAAGATAATTAAAACAACTAATTGCAGTAAAACTCATTATGATGGATCAACCATCTTTATTAATTGATCAAATAAGTTGAGAGCTAGAGATTTGATTTATGATTGTTAAAATATATAAGCCTTAGTTATTTAGAGCATCTATAATCATGCTCCCTATTTTTTTAGTTAAAATTTAGCTAAAACACACGAGTTATGTTAGGAGCTCTTTATAAAATTTGAATTTCAATCATCCTCCCTAATTTAGGGAGTCATAAATACTATAGTTATTTTTTAATTCAATACAATTGGTCAATTTTCTATAAAAAAATAATATTAAAAAAAATAGTTAGCATTAATTAAAAGTTTAAACAATGCATAAAACGAAGCACCATTAAATTATAGGGAGTCACTAGGAGTCATTTCTCTCCCCTCAGATTTAGGAGCTCCTAGATGTCTCCCTATTTTAGGAGGTGGATATGGAGCATAGTTGAAGTTGTATTTTTTCAATTTCGCCATAAAATTTGTCTAAGGAGGTGGTTTATGGCCCATTGTGGATGCTCTTAGAAGACGTTTTTACCCATTTCAAAAAGCACTGTAAATACCAAACATACCCTACAACTGAATAGCAAATTTTGAACTTGGAAGGTGCCAACTACATTTTTGTACAACTACACTATGAAATACACATAAATAACGAGATAATGTACAATCGCCATACTCTCTTTAACTATGAAATTCTATTATTGTAATTGTTAATAGAGATAAACGGTTAAAATTCTATTATTGTAATTGTAAATAGAGATAAAGGGTATGTTTCCACTCGAGTCTGTAGGCTATAGACTATTACTTATGCTAAAAAAAACATTTTGTACTGCAAGGTTGGCAACCAAATCTCCTAATTTTGGTATTTTAATACGCGCCATAAAGAAGTAGGTAGTAGGAATGAAATTACCCATCAGCTTGATTTTGCAAGACCATCCCTGCCAGATCAGCAACCTCTGCAAGTGCCTCTCTCCATCCCTTCACCTTCTTCAGCGGTTGAGTTTTCTGGTGCCCAGCAAATGCCTTTGCAAGATTTCCTGTCTGCTTCCTCACATAGGATGGATCCAGATTGTAGAAGACAGGTAAAACGACATGGTCAGCTGAGGTCCTCTTGCGTTCAAGGATCATCACAAGCTCGTCAAGGCACCATCTGGATGAAGCGTAGTCTTCCGAAAACACAATAACAGAAGTTTGTGAGTGTTTGATTGCTTTCTGCAGTTCCCGCTTAATATCCTCTCCTCTCTCAAGCTCATCGTCGTCTCTGAAAGTGCGAAATCCGGCGTTGACCAAGGCTGTGTAGAGGTGGTCAGTAAAATTCTTGCGAGTGTCTTCACCTCTGAAACTCAGGAACACGTGATAACGACAATATGGAGGAGTATTAGAAGAGGAGGTTTGTTGAGCCGATCTCACAAGTGCCATAGATTGAAGTGTGGTGATGAACAAAAAACTGTCTGAGAGGAAATCAATTATAAGGTTTGAGGTTTCTACTTCCTTTCCTGGATGTTGTAAACAAGCAGTGTGTGAATGCATCCATCGACATAAAAGCAATTATGCTTAGTCAAGCAAATGAAATCAAGATGTCTTTTTCTGAAGGGATTTAATAATACCGAGTGAGTGATGGGGCCGGCCAGAGTCACTGGCGTAAGTGACAAGTTCTAGTACTTTATTAACGAGTAAATTGTTTGGTCAAAAACAGACAATTGGAGTTGTTGGCTTAAGAAAAAAGAAAGAAAGGAGGATAACATAAGCAAGATGCTTAACATAAAGATAATGGCATGGCAGAGTCTGTACATTCACACCATGGACTGTTAGGAAATTTCTCCTTATTATCAGTTTGATCTTGACGGATCGCGGTGTTGAATAATATAATTAGGTGCATAAGGCTCCTAATTCTAAAATATTAGAAGTATTACTCGATTAGGGCATGCACAACTTGAACTGACTTGACTTAGTAATCCACTTCAACCCAATCTTAACTTCAAACGATTGTTTCCTGATCTTTTTCAGATCGAACGCAAATATCAATTTAATTTGCATTTTGGCCCCATTGTACTGAAGTATACATTCACCATTGTACTGTAATGACCACCTCTAGTCCTTAAGGTGTAACATCCCGGTCCGAAAAAGAAATAAAATAATTAAATTAGGAGGAAATAAATTTGAATGAGAAAATAAGTTGAAATAAACAATAAAAATAAAGTGATTTGAATTAATTAAGGGTTTTGAAAATAATAAATATTTACGTAATTTTAAAAAGGGGCAAAAATATCATTTTAAGTTTTCGAAGGAATTTGGGACTTCCGGTTATACCGTTGCGTAGAGCACGCCGAAATGAGTCCGTAGACACGTAACGGACTCGAATCCGAGTTATAACGAGAGAGAAACGAGAAAAATTGAAGGGGGGGGCAAAATTGTAATTTTGAAAAACTGGTTTTAAAACCAGATTTTTTCTCTCTCTCTCTCTCTCTCTCTCTCTCTCTCTCTCCCATGCG